TATGAATACTGTGTATTTGGACATACTATACTCTTCACATACTGTTTTTTCAGCCACTATATAGTAGGGAAGTATGCCATTTCAGACGAAGCCATAGTGTGGATTTAGTGTGCATTAAGCTTTGACGTTTTTCAGGCTTGGGACAGTCTTGAAACTTACTTCCTGGGGCTTACATGTGCTGTCAAGTGGCCAAGACAGCAAGTGTCTCACCCAGTGAATCGTTCAGATCCCTTACTGAGTTCAAAACTAAATCTCTCACTGAACTGTGTCATTTTTTGATTATGTCTGAAATTAATTGTGCCAGTGACGTGCATTTTATGTTAGTTAAACTTACGTCAGTCTGTTTACTAACGTCCTGTTGACAATGTGTAATTAAAGATACAGATTTGTAACATACTGTAGTGGTATATTAAAATGATATAAAAACAATATTCAGAAAAACATTATTTGTCATCGTTTAACACAGTGACGGCTAGTTGTAAGGTTGAAACAACTGTGTAAAAAAAGCAAGAAGGTATGACTATAAGATGGGTGACATTATCAACAAAACATTTTACTTATTTATTCAAACAGACAGAAATATTGTAATGAAATAAATAGATATTCATGTGGTGCAAATACAGCCAGGATCACTAGAATGACAGCATCAAACTAGAAAAAAAAAAGTATTATACAAAGAGAAAAACACAATGTAATATCTGAGGAAAAACCTGAAGCAAAACCACTGCAGCATGCAATGACTTTGCTGTATACGAATCAATACAAAATTATGTTCTTTACAGTATATCATTTTGCTATGTCTTTCTTTCCCAGACACCCTTGTGATTTCTCTGCTGTTAAACCAAGCTATGTCAGGCACTCCCCTTATTGGATTTAAACTGTAAGACTGTTTCTCCTAACTTCTCTTCCTTTCTAATCATTATTTATGAGTTTTTTCTCAGTTCCGTTCTGGCCGTTGGAAGAGAGAGGCTTTCTTTTTTCTTTTTCTTTTTTTTTTACAGGAGCCCAAAAATAGCGTACATTTTTCTTTGTTAGTGGATGTCGAGGCGATTCAGGCTCAGACACCAAGATTGTGGAGGATACATCTTGTGTTATAAAGGAGAATATGTGTATGCAAGTGTTTTGTTAACACCGGACGATGGATCAAGGTGCCCTACGGAGGGGGATGGTCACGTAAGCGATTGATTCTGCTCAATGTCTCAATACGTCATCCCCCTCTCTCTCTCTTGCTCTCTCTCTCTCAATTGTCCTGCTATTTCTCCATTTGTCCATCCATTCCCTGAAGATTGCCACTGCACAGGCCTCTAGTTGTTTTTCTCTGACAATTTTCACAGCTTCCTCAGCAGTCTGGATTGCATATCTGTGATAGTGCTTCCTGTAACCTTCAGTACAATTATGTCAAACCACCTAATGAACATCTTGAAGTAAAGATAGTTCCAATAAAATGACAACAAAATGTTTCTGACACTCTGAATGAAAAAAAAAGGCATGGAGCAGAAATGCAATATGAAGAACAGCTGCTCCATACAGCCGCAGTTTGATTGAGACATTAGTGAACCTACTGTATCCCTGCTGATAGCTACATAATCTCAACACTATTCAGCCTGTAGCGTTCTGGATGGATGTATCCACAGGGACAGCTGGGATAGTCCGAGATATTCCCGGTTTACATTGCTTCCCCTTCTCCCGTCCCGACCCCTTCCTATTGTCTGGATACCCAACCATAGCCATCTATAGACTCACTCACAGATGTTTCCTTGAATAATTTCCCTTTCTCAGGAACAAAGAGATTCTCTCTCAGTCTGTCCCAGTGATTATCTGGGGCCATTGTGGCATTTCGGCTCAGTGAATGAGATCATTCAAGCGACTTTCACAAATCCAAAAAGACTGCGAGAAAGAGTTTGACTCTTTAACTGAAACTGCTCGCTATAAAATTACAAGTCAAGAAGGTCAGTAGTTTGCAAAGTATGAAAACCTCTATTTGTGTTTCATGTCTGTGTCTGAGATGGGTGCTGTAAATGATAAGAGCTCTCAGCAAAGAGTGCACATCAATACAGAGAGAAAAAACACTGGAGTGTATGATCAATGTACAGGCATTTGTAGCAGAGTGAGGATCCATTTAGACAATCAATAATATTAAACAAGCAATGAATGATTGTTCTTCTAATTAAGTGAATTAGTAAAGTTATGTCATTCATTTCATTTCTGCCATTGTGGTAAAAATTTGTCCAATTCTGCCTTTCCTTACCTATAAAAAGAGATTTCTGTGACTCGCCTTGCAATGATCTCTCCATGACGCAGTTCTTGCTGTGAAAGCACTTTCTCTAAAACTCAATTACCGCATCTTTGCCAGACAGCCACATGTACTAGTGAGAATGACCAACACTCAACTGTAGTGCACTACTTCTACTTCTTCCCATAATGCCGCTGGACAAATCATGCTGTGAGATCACGTTCTATCAATTGAGAATACACAGCTCAGTGTTCTTTAATTGACTCGAGGTGCATGTATCTGTCTGATTCAGCTGGACTCTTGTGTTGTTTGTGTCTGATGGCTGCTGATGAATTGCATGGCCAATCGATTCTTCACTTCATGTCACATTTTGAGTTATTTTTTGTTTATTTATTTATTTCGTTTCATTGCAGATGTTTCTGGGCAAATGTGAGAAGAAGAGCTCATTCATGCTGACGTACTCGAGAGAGTATTTCACTCTGCCGCTTTTATACAACCACAATCCCAAAATGTGTTGGCAGAGTCATCTGTGAGGATGTCACCAGGGACAAAATTATAGCTTGTTATCCTTTTTATTTTTTTGCTTTATGATCAGGGGCTTTGTGAAAAAATTCGTCATGTTTGTGAAGAATGGAAATTTAAATTTTTGGGGGCATTTTTAAAACTTAACTCACATTATGCACTAGATTGTGTGTGAATCTTGCTTGTCAAAAAATTATGATAAATTACAAACTTTAGTTTTGTGTTTTCCCTATTGTTTCATTTATTATATGTGAGCCTGGACCACAAAACCAGTCTTAAGTCTCTTGGGTATATTTTTAGCAATAGCCAAAAAAACATTGTATGGGTCAAAATTATCGATTTTTCTTTTATGCCAAAAATCATTAGGATATTAAGTAAAGATCATGTTCCATGAAGATATTTTGTACATTTCTTACCGTAATTATATATCAAAACTTAATTTTTGATTAGTTAAATGCATTGCTAAGAACTTAATTTGGACAACTTTAAAGGCAATTTTCTCAGTATTTATATTTTTTTTATATATATATATATATATATAGCCTATAATAATCTAAAATATTTTTTTTGTTTTTTTCAAACAAAAAAATGTTGCTAGAAATGAAATGCATCTCTATTGTGACAGTACAAATCTGAACTTCAACGAGAGTCAAAAAAAAAAAAAAATCCTTATAGTCATGCTGGAATGGAGTCAGCAGATAGACAATTCAGCAATGATCCAACCAGACAGGGTATTTAATCAATTTAAATAGCTTAATAAAGTGAACAACTTCTAAAATATAATTTTTCTTCATATCCTCATTTAGAGATTTCCCACTACTGCCATCTAACAAACAATGACACACACACAGGGCAGTTTAAAGCCAAAGTCAATCTGAAATAGGTTATTTAAAACAGCAATGAATACAAAATGTTCCTCCGAGTGCCACTGTTCTTGTCAGTGGAGTATTTTTTTCCTTACATCCCTGAGTGTTCCTGCAGTGTGCATGAAACTGTCTTCCCATAGTGTGCGAGATGTTCTTTTCATGCTTTCTAAACAGTCCCCTCCATAAATTTTGAAGCAATGTCATTTTACGTGTAGCGTCTGGACCAATCAGACACACCATTTTTCATTTGATCTAACAAATCAATTATTCATTAGATTAACAAACGTTCACAGACCCCTCACCCAATAGACATACTGGGTGCCAAGTTGTCTGTGAACAGGGCCCAGGACCCTGGTTACCATGGCAACCCTGACACCAGATACATTTACGACCTAATGGAATGATTAATTATTCATATTTCCCCATGAGCTGATTCACAACATACGGATGGTACAGATACTCTCTTAAAAGCCTGTGAAGACAATTACCAGATTTTGTTTATCACCAATCTGGCATGGAAGTAATTGAACATCAAAAGACATCCAATATTTATTTCTGTTCAGCATTAGATTGTCATCTGCAAACAGTATGTAACTGAATGTTTTGAAATTGCCGTTCCTGGGACTCTTCTCAAAGGAGTTTGCATCCTTAGCAGCTGCTTATTTCCCACAAAAGATGCATTTCTGTGCAAGGCCGAAAATATATACGATGTGATGCTTTGTATGTTGTCAAATACAAAATAAGGCAAATAACATTGAAAACACGTGTTTACTGGGGGATGTTGCACAAAATATGTGCAAAGTCGGGAAAGCAAAACAGCACTTGTTTTAAAGTAACTTATACATTTACTTTAAAACTTTAATGTACTTTAAAACATGAAACTTTTGTTTCATGTTACAGAGCAATTATAGTTTTGAATTGCTCTGTAACATGAAACATTCCGTATTAAATATTAAAACCCAAATTACGAGCATGATCCTATTGGTAATTGTAATTTTAGAAAATTTTAAACAAATTTACATGACAGAATTTCTGCAACATTCTGTCCTTACCCAGAACTGCTGTGATTGTATGGTGTCATTGTACCCTCTAGTGGACAAAAACATACTCGCAGCTGCCACTAGGTTCGATTTTTCTATGAAAATCAGTAGAAAAAAAGCCTTGTTGGGCAAAATGAACTAATAAATATTACACAGCTGTATATAGTTTGAAAGTTTGAGTTAAATGAATACATCATTAAGCATACACCTGGACTAATCTTGACTGAAGTCTGTTGTTTAATTCCTTCAGAAGACCTATTGAAGATTCTCCTAGCACCATAAGAAACGTAGTGTAAAACATAACACTCGTTCATAACCCCCAAACCCCCGACCCTGTTCAGTGTACTCCACGTTTCTGCTCCTCACCCCTCTCTCTCTCTCTCTCTCTCTCTCTCTCTCTCTCCCTCCTCTTCATTTAGTCTTCTGTTTATGTTTTGGTGTGGGGGCAGGGGAAGGTGCTGGGGCTGCTGGAGGTTTGGCCAGTGAAATCACAAGATCAACTCTAGAAAAGAGAAATGTGAAAGAAGTGGCAAAGAGAACATATATGATAAATTCAAGAAAGTAAACTATTTTAGTTAATTAAAGTCATAAAGAATGTGGTTTGATTATCATTCGTGTCTTTGCTGGGAGAATATAAACGTTTGGATTAATATAGACTTAAAGGAATAGTGCACAAAAAAAAAGAAAAATTACTGAAAATTTACTGATTCTCTGGCAATCCAAGATGTAGATGAGTCTGTTTCTTCATCGGAACAGATTTGGAGAAATTTACCATTACACCACTTGCTCACCAGTAGATCCTCTGCAGTGAATGGGTGCCGCCAGAATGAGAGTCCAAGTAAACTATTTGACTCCAGTCCATTTCCAATTAGCATCTTGTGAAGTGAAAAGCTGTGTGTTTGTAATAAACAAATCCACCATTATGATGTTTTTAGCTTCAAATTGTTGCTTAAAAATTAGTCCTCTTTATAATATTGCTTCCTCCAGTTAAAGTAATGTCTTCTTAATCAAGAGAGAAATAAGCACAGATCAAACACTGTTTACTAGTGAAAACAGTCCAAAAAAGTTCTAGAAAAATATGTCAGTGGATTTTGATGGTGGACTTTTTCACTGGAGCAAGTGCTATTGTGGATTATGGATTATTTTGATCCAAAGAAACAATTTAAAGTTAAAACACGTTGGATTTGTTTATTACAAACATGCAGCTTTTCACTTCGCAAGACATCCATTGCTGGACTGGAGTCATGTGGATTACTTGTTGATTATTGTGATGTTTTATCAGCTGTTTGAAATCTCATTCTGACGGCACCCATTCACTGCAGATGATCCATTGATGAGCAAGTCATGTAATGCTAAATTTCTCCAAATCTTTTCTGGGGATGAGGAAACAGAGTAATCTACACCTTGCATGGACTGAGAGTGAGTAAATGTGAGTAAATCTTAAGCAATTTTTCATTTTTTGGTGAACTATTCCATTAAGATGTAGGCTTGCTTAATTTTTCCTGGCTCACTTTGAATTGTTTTCATTACGGCTCATATCAGAATGATGAACACTTACATTTCTGTGACTTTTTCCACAAGTTTTTTGATGGCTTTGACAATCTTGTCGATCCTTGCCTGTCAAAAATTAAAACAAAAAATAAGTGTTAAGTCTGAAGTAGCCTATGGTGTGAATCTATGTGCATAAATTAATGAGATCTGATAATAAGTGCAGTTCTGGTCGAGGGGAAGGGGCAATTCCTGATGTTAACTAACACACATCTATAGTTTCTAAACACATTTTGACCAATGCATATAGCCAAGAATTTTTGGCTATATGCATTTTTTTTTTTTTTTTTTTTTTTTTAAGGGGTCATATGATGTTGCTAAAAAGAACATTATTTTGTATTATTTGGTGTAATGAAATGTGTTTATGCGGTTTAAGGTTCAGAAAAAAAACATTATTTTCCACATACTGTACATTATTGTTTCTCCTCTATGCCCCGCCTTTCTGAAACGCGTCGATTTTTACAAAGCTCATCGGTCTGAAAAGCGAGGTGTGCTCTGATTGGCCAGCTATAGGAAAAATTTTAATCGCATCATATGACCCCTTTAATATAGACCTGTGTGTAATGTCCAAATGAGGCACACACTTACCTGTTGAAGTCTGTATAAGAGTGGCAGAGAGAAAGCACATATCACACCTGTTCAAAGGTGAAAGAATTACTGTACATTAATATAATGTATCATCACGACAAAGCAGTAATACTTGATAAGGTATAATCCAATTCACTCAGACTAAATGTTTTCAACTGAACTGTTACTGACATTAGGTCAAAAATAGTGTCAGCTGTGATTTGTCATTAATCTTTACAAATTTCAACAGGATATCCTTACCTGTCATAACCAGCGTGAGACCATTGGCTTGGACCCCCACATAAGTCAACAAATACAGGAACACAACAAGCTACACAAACAAATAAAATACAACCATTCAGATAAAAGCATTATATTTTCATTTTACTTTAGATTTCAATCATATTTACATTTAGATGCTTTTATCCAAAGAGATTAACAGTGCATTGAAGGTAGCCTATATATTTTCATCGGTATTTGTGTTCACTGGGAATTTAGTCTATTGCTAGCACCCTGCTGTACCAGGAACATTATGTTCTTATACTAATAAAGGTACATTTTTCTTTTCCAAATTTCTTTACTTTCACTATTGCATATTCTCACAGAACCTTTGCCTTTGGGAATGAAAGCACATGGTAATAGTTCATATCAGGACTAATTATGTAAGTGAGTAGTATCCCCTGATGTAGTGAAAGTAGGCCATAAATTGCAGTAAAAGCATAAAAATTGCTCGGTGTAGCTGAGGTGAGATATTTAAGACGCATGTGAGACCTTCACTGAGTCCATGATGCTATCTATGAAGAACAGCCTCTTCAACTCGGTGACAGTCGTAGCAATCAGCAGAACCATTTGTTCCGCCATGCGAACTGTGTCCTCATCTGTCAGCGTACAGTCCTCATCCAAATATGACCTTTTTAATAAAGAATAGTTGACCAGCTGAGAAAGATTACATGTATTAATCCAGACTTATTTGAGTTGCTTTACCCTCCATCGAGCTCCTGCCAAATCATTCAACATTTGTTTTAAATCTGCATATCTGTTATGCATCTCAAGAATTCATTTTTTAATATTTAATTTTTAATATTTTAACCCATGATCAACTTGACATAGACTACATCAGAGTGAACTCATCCATTCAAACCAGCTTGAAAAAAGGGCAGACTGGGGGTCTGTAACTTTATAAGCAATATCACACAAACAAGAGGGTTGTTGTTTTCATAACACACCACAATTGCACTTGTTTCATTGTTGAATGAATTAGTGAACTAATCGACTCGCATGCAAACACTGACGAGACTTCTGCTACTACTCCATCTACTCCAAGAGGTACAGTAAACAGCATGTCAGTTACACCTTTAGGGTTACGGCTGTGTAGAAACATGTTATTTGTTTTACAGCATACTCACTGAAAGGGATGAGATCCATCACTGAGGCGGACAAGCTTCATGGCTTTGTAGAGTAAGCGTACAGGGAGGGTGAAGGCCATAATGCCCAAACCGAGGTTGGACAGGATCGTGATGGCACTGAGCTGGAACAAACAAGCCAAACCCACAACCAAACCTGTAAACACCAGCCCGGTGGTCCCCACATCCCGCCAGTATAACAGATCCAACACTATGGAGGGTAAGAAAAATTAATGTGTGAGATGTCAGGGAAATAAACAGAGGCATAGTCAGGCAGAATAATGGAGAGAAAAAGAGACTGAGGGAGAAATGCAATGACCATGCAGTACTGCTTTGAAGTCGGTCTTAAAGGGGGACGCGGGGGGGGGGATGTGTGGTGGAGTATTTGGGTGGTCAGATATGCATGTTTGCACAGGGTGTCTGGTCATTTTTTTTGTGGTAAAATCAAATTACAAATGCAGATTTTCTTCCATTCTTTGAGTTAGTCCACAAACTTTAGTTGAATGAATTCACCTTAGAATTAATAGTTTATGATATTTTAAATAAAATATCCATTTTGAGTCTTAACTCTTTTGAATGTAAACAAAATTATTTATATTATTTTGGAAAATTTCAATAAAATTAAAATTCAGAAAAAGGATTAGCAAATTAGCCTATCCCTCACTCTGGGCTGTTCAATTCATAAGACTTTTGATTTGATAAAAGGTGGCAATTTACATTTACGCAGTGTTTACTGTGTCATCTTATTGTCCAAGCACTATGTTATGAAAATGACACGTTAATTATTGGGGAAAAAAATGGTTAAATATTGGAAAAAAAAAAAACATTGATTTTCCTGTATCCCTTAATTTCGTGTTGTTTCAGTTTAATTATCTCTCTATTTCAAGAAGTTTCTCTTTTACCACAAAAGTGATGCCATATGTGAATATATATAAACATCTGCAACCTCTTTTTTTAGTTAGCTAGCAGGACGTTTTAGCAATGAGTGGTCATCTATATTACTGAGAAATTTTATATAATGAGATTGCAACATGATCATTACCCAGCATTGTTAAACTGTCTATGTTAATATGCTTTTAAAGACTGAATGTAATTCAGTCACCCAGTTTCTAACTTTCTTTGTATAGAACTCATCTAACAGTAATCATGGGAGGGGTAGAGTTCATAGTGAGTATCCAAAAACAAAATATTAAAAATATACTTTGTCTGTCTAAACATTGTCAGTCGTTATTTTTGTCTTGAATTTCAGGCAATGTGAAGCAGGGTGAAAACACTCGCACAGCACAATCAAAGGATAAGCAAGGCTCAGAGGAATATGAAAACAACTGCAAAAGGACAGAAAAGAAAAGGTGGAATTCTAAAATTCTCAAATCCACGGGAGTGGCCTTAAAGTTGTCAAGGACTTGACTGTAAGTTGAAATTTAAAAAGTAAAAGTAATATAGTAAGCTGACTCTGCCAGAAACCCTTATTGAAACCACATAACTGTCCAACAAAGCTTGGTCACGTTATACACCACAGGCCAAACATGTCAAGTCTGTAAACACATTCATTTTTGCACATGAACGTACTAATCTGAATCAAAAGTGAATCCAAAGAATTTGCACATTATTTTGTACAACTGCAATAATTTAGTGCAAAAGTTACATCTCTGAGACAAACATATGACATAAATAGACAAGAAGCCTTCGTGTCAGAGAGTGCATGGACACAAACACTGTAGAACAGCTAATGGAAGTGTGCATTCACACGCCCCTTCCCCTGTGAAGCCAATAGACCCCAACAGCTGTTGATTCTGATTATCCTCCAAACGCAGGTGCAAATCTGTGCTGTGGCGCACACTGGCGCAAAGCTGAATGAGCCTTTATCAGATCAATCCAAACCCTCTGAAATCTTCTCTGCATGAAATCTTCCGCATGGCCTTCACTCCTGCTAATGCAATTTATTGCAGCCTAACATGGCGGGGTCAGATTGAATCTCTCCGGGGAGATGTCTGCCAACACTGCCAAAATAAGACTGAGAGAAGATCTCACTTCCTTCATTGAGACATCAATGCCTCCTTTTTTGCCTTCAAATACTAGAGTCATGCATCGGTCGGCTCCGGAAGGCAGTCCATCCATTAGATTCCCATCAGCCTGCCAAGCTTCCATTGGGAAGTCCTGTGTGATGTGCTGACCGTGTCAGCAGTATTACTATACCTCTAGAGTACACCACTCAACTTCAATCTGATCTCCTAACCTCCCCACACCCCCCTCAGTTACTGCCAACCTGCATTTCGCGTACCTGCACATTACATGTGTAAACAATATAGCTCAGGAGAGCTCGATCCCAGCGCAGCAGAAGACTCTCACCTTTGCTGGCCATTTCTGCTGCTTCCACACCAAACCCCCTCTCCTCCCAGCACTCCACGAACCTTCTGGGCTTTTTTTGGCCATCCTAGCGTTGTCAGCAGAAGGGGTTGGCCTGACCTAATAATATCTCAACCAGTTGGACACCCCATCTTTATAAACACACACACAGCTATCCTTCCTCGTGGGTCGTTCAGAGCCTAAGGAACCTGAGACGTCAGCATATGTCTGTGTGTAGTCAAGTCTTCATATCGAGGGAGATGGCTAACCTTAGATACAAGCAAATTACTCAGATGTTCCTCAAAGAGTGCTGTGCTTTATCTTCTCAAATTCTGTGAAAAGTGCTGGCCTTTAGCACCCAGCTGAAGGTGTGTGCGTGTGTGTGTGTCTGTGTGTGTGTACTGGTATTCAATATGTTATGGGGACCAAATGTACACAAGCATAGTAATACGAGTAAATTTTGACCTTGTGGGGACATTTTTTTAGGTCCCCATGAAGAAACAAGCTTATATATCATAAAGAATTAAGTGTTTTGAAAATCAAAAAATGCAGAAAGGTTTAGGTGTAGGGTTATGGTGTATATATATGGTAGAAAATACAGTTTGTACAGTATAAAAACCATTACGCCTATGGAATGTCCCCATAATGATAGGAATACAAGGAATGCATAATTTATGAAGATATTTGACAAATAAATTAACTGAATTGTTTAATTTATAACAACAATAATAGTAAGTAGAATAATAATGTATGGTAATTTATGATAATTATTTTATGATTTATGATGATATTAATAATACAGATAATATAAACATGATCATATAAAATGATATAAGTATTGATGAAAAGACTAGAAACAAATTAAAATGCTTTTAAAAATCTAAACTTAATTTTAATCTAAATTAATTATTTTAATATTGTAATCAAATTATTTCTTCGCTTTATGTTTTTTTTTCCAGGTTGCTTGGCCCAGCAGTCAGTACTACAAGCATCTGATGCAATGCCATCAAAGGCATTTATTCATGAGACATTTTTGTGTGCGTCATTCCATGGACCCACAAAAAAAAAAAAAAGAGTTAAAAATTCATATTTGAATATGCCATTCATAAATTCTGCTTAAGGCAAACCATGTTCTTTAATATGAATCACTGAATCTGCCTCACATAACATTATGAAGAGTGTACTATGTGCCTTCTCTCTCTCTCTGCCATTCTCTCTTACTGGGCTACTGTGAAAATCTGTTATGCACATCAATCTGTGTATGTTAGGTAATGCAAAATTATCAAATGTTCAGCAGAGATGATTAACAGAGGGAGTTCAAGAGGAGAAACTGAGGGAGGGAGGGAGGGAGGGAGGGAGAGAGAGAGGCACTGAACATGTGAAAGAGAGAGAGCCACTCTGCAAAAGGATTGCATGTCTGTGTGTACAAAAAGAGGGAGGACACTGCGAGATGATTGGTGCATAGAAATAGCTCAGCCAATCAGAGAGATGACAGGAAAATAACAGGCTCAGACAGAGAGAAAGCTTAGAGAGAGGGAATATCACTGACATATAGAGGAGGAAGGCAACAAAAGTGGATCAAATTGGAAAGAGCCACTATGACTGCAGATAGATTAGATCTCAGTGATATGTCTAGCAATGGTAGAGTAACAGAAGGGAAAATCAGCCGTTCTACATTGGATCATTCGAGGATGCTTCAAGGTGCAGAATCAGCCTCTTGGGAGATAATGCTGTGAAGGCCCTGAGCAGCAAGGCGGCACACAGCCGAACCAAAGCCAGCAAGCTACAGCACAGGGTGGAGGCCTTGAACAGATTCAAACGAGTGCAGAAAAAAAGACACCATGAGGACATCAAGGAAAGGAAGCGTGGAAATGCCTGCTTTTGTAAGGCAACTGGTGAAGGAGACAGAGAAAAGGGTCACCTCCTTTTTTAAAGGGGGGCGAGGGGGAGGTGCAGGGGAGCTGTCTGAAGGCGAAGAGGGAGGAGAAGAAGAAGGGGTCATCCCTAGCCCCTACTTGGACCGACCGGTTCTGGACAAGCACATGCAAGAGGGCTGTGCCTCCTGGGGACTTACCTACGCCCTGGCCAGCATGCAGGGTTGGAGGGCCCACATGGAAGATTTCCACAACTGCTTCCCTCAGCTAGGAGGGGAACTGGCCCACTGGGGGTTCTTCGCTGTGTATGATGGGCACGCAGGGAGTGTGGTGGCCCAACACTGCTCCCAAAACCTGCTGGACCACATTCTGGGCACAGGTGAGCAACAAGCTGTCCTACAAACAGTAGGACTTCTTGTATCTTTTTGGCTTATACTATATTTCTACGTCGATAGTCATTTGAGAGCATGGCAAACCTCATGACTGAGTGGCTTTTGATGAGAAACAGAAATTACATAATGTGGGAAATCTTATTGATCTCTTTAGAATAGATCCAAGAGGATCTCATCGGACTGGATTAATTTGCAGACCTACTGTACATCCAAAGCCTCAGCAACATTATGACTTAATTAAGCCTTGATCTGACGAGTTAATTGTGGTGTACAACATAAAGCAATTAGATGTTGCATAATGGTTGGTCCTTGCAATCTTCTCTAATGAAGCCTTTAGATTTGTCTTTGCGAACATGCAAACGTGATCTGTTTGAAGTCACCAAAAGACCTTGCACAGTTAACGGTGGACTAGATTGTGTTGGTTATTTAGTGATATAAGCTGTTCCTTCTCAGGCAAAATCCGAGCAGGTGAGGATGTACAAAGGGTCACTGAGGGCATCAAGGAGGGCTTCTTTCTCATGGACAAACACCTTCATGCCATGGCCTGCCGTGAGGGTTGGGAACGTGGAGGGACAACTGTCATTGCCACCGCTATCACTCCACACCACATCTACTTTGTGAACTGCGGGGACTCTCGGGCGGTCTTGTGCCGTGCGGGGCGGGTGGCCTTCTCGACGGAAGACCACAAGCCCTTCAGCCCCGGCGAGAGAGAGAGGATAGAGAACGCTGGAGGATCGGTGACTGTGCAGCGCGTGAACGGCTCGCTGGCAGTCTCCCGGGCATTGGGGGACTTCAGTTACAAGACAGCTGAGTGGCGGCCAGTCACAGAACAGATGGTATCGCCAGAGCCGGAAGTGTCTGCTGTGGAGCGCTCGCCAGCAGATGAGTTTCTGGTTCTGGCCTGCGATGGTGTGTGGGACACTATCACTAATGAAGAGCTCTGCGCCTTCATACACAGCCGACTTCGTGTCTGCACAGACCTGAGAGAGGTCTGCTCCCAGGTCATTGACCTTTGCCTCTATAAGGTTAGTACGAACAGAAGATTTCTAGGCTGTTTTCACTCTGTTTTCGATTGCTTGGTCCAAATCCATGTTCGATTTCTCCTCAAACCCCTGCAAGTCTCTTTTCCCATTGCAGTTTTGGGACATTTCTGAATATCTTTGAGTTCCAGCATGAGTGAGAGCCCCGTTTACTACTGTCGCTAGATAGCAACTTACAGAAAATCTAATGCCAGCTTCACTGCTTTATTCATGTTATGTCATTTCACTTTAAACTTTAAGCTGCAGAAATGTAGGTGAAAATATAAATTTGTTTAAATTTATTTGTTTTTTTATTTCAAATATATTTTTGATACGGTTTAGTTGCTTATATGGCATCATATTTTTGGTCTTTA